TATATATATATATATATATATATACTACTTATTACAAGTTTGGACAGATTGAAATAAGCAACTAAGTGATAGAGAAGTGAGGAGGTAAGATTTGCAGCTGAACTGGACAGATTGACAAATAAATCTATGGTACCATTTTGGCTGTTTATTTAACTGTGCAAATGTCAACAACAATCACTCAAATTTATCTAAATCGAAATTACTGCTACTCTTTCTCTTGCTCTTTCCTTTTGGTAATTGTGACACACTTAGACTGGATTTGCACTGGTTTCCATTCATTATTCATTCAAACATTTGAAAAATACTATAAAACTGATGTCACAGCACATAGCACTATGCTAATAACATCTGATTTCATGTTATATGATACGGTACACGATTTGATTTGAATAAGTGTAATTTGATCAAAAACTTTCGTTCAATCAAAAATGGAAAGTTGAGGAAATCTGTTTTTCTCATTTTGAACACAGCGTGCTAAATATGCAATCAGTTTGCATAACAAGTACTCTTCAGGATACATCGCTAGCACTTAAGTGATAAAACTTGTTTGAAATTAAGTGCACTCGTGATTTTAATACTGGATGCTGAGACTGCTCCGAAAATTATTAACAAGATAAGTACTGCTTGAGTGCACATTCCATGCTTCCTAGCCATAACATCAGATGCTTGTTTACTTGCATACGAATTCAACTATTAAGATTAAGACCTATATCATGTTGCAAAAAAGTATGAAACAACAAAAACAGCGACGAATTCAGATTTTTGGACAATTTAACACGCATTCATTGAAACGTTCATCTCTCCTACTCTTATGACCACTATCTTTTGTGAACGATTAGATCATTATGAATCAATTTCTGCGCAGTAAATGGATTAATACTTCGAAATACACTTTACCCAAGCTTTTTATATCACAAAAACGATGTAGAAAATAGTTTCATATCATAGAAACTCCTTTTCAACAAACTTTTTTCCAAATACGATATGTTGATACCCCAAACTATGCTGTTTGAAACCTATCAACTCGCAAAGAATAGAACCAATACTAATTGATAAATTTCCTGCGTGACGTTTCCAGCAAGAAAATAACAAAGCCTTCCTTAACTTTTCACACCAATTAGCGATTGAAAAGCAAGTATTTAGTACCTTCCTAAGCTATAAATGAGCATTACTTAAATTCGAAATACAGAATTCTTTTTGAACATTACTTGAATTCAAAATTCAGCCACAGTTCTTCTTGCCCATTTATCCTAAAATCGTACATAGGACAATTTTTGCTTTAAATAAAAAAAAACTCGTGTTTTGATCTACAGTTACAAAAAGTAAAACCATGCTTTAAATGCCATGATCATTTGACTGATATTTACATTGTTCAAATAATATATATTTCGTTTGCAGTGAAAAATTGTATAAAAAATAAAAAATAATTATTTACAGATTTGCAATGTACTGCACAAGGCACCTTCATCAAAATTCACTATTGATTACTTAGTATTTACACATCTAGTTCAAGTAATGTATACATAGAGTTGATGTAAATACTCTACAAGTTGTTTTAATCACAACTTCATTGTTACAAATCATTACAGTGAAAGTGAGGATTTTAACTGTAGTAATTTGAATTTCATTTCAATACAAAGCACGCAATCAACAGAAGTGGAATCCGATATACCCGACTAACTAAAATATTCGGTATGTCAAAATTGCGTTTTATTTCATTCCTGCAATTCAGCTTGGTAAGGCGTTAATGTGCACCAAATTCATCCACACAAAACAAGCTGCACAAGAAACTATTTCATCGAACTGTTGTCGTACCATACTGTCAGCTTCCATCAGTAGAGAATCAAATTCATTAATCTGTCGTTCCTAGCAAAAAACAAAGTGAACTAAAGTCTAGTTAAGTTTTCTTATTCCACTAAAAACATAATTTTTTTAATCTTATAATGATTCCTGTAAATGATTTCTATTCTCTTAAATTAAGAATACCTTTGGCGTATCATAACTCATATTGAAATTTATCATTTTTATGTATAATACAGTCTATTTTAGTCAAATAGACCAATGTAACAGTGAAAAATGATACAAATTTGATACTTTTGCAAGTAATCGCAACTGAATAGGTTTATCATTTTCGGCAGTGATGAGAAACGCTGTTTGCTGAGAAGTTCGTGTAACAATTACAAGGTACTGAAAAATGAAGTATTATGTAAACCTGTTTCTAACATTCTTTTAAATAATAAAATTAAGTGCATTCTCCCTCCAAGTATTTTAATTATTTAAAACTTCACTTGATTAACATGTAAAAAACAGACTTCCAGAAATCCTATTAAGTTCAGCAAGCTATGCAAATTCGTTCATTTATTCCACTAACCCACATAATTATTCTTCCGAAATTTAAATCACTGTTCTTAACTTATGTGAGACTTAAACTTTTTACTATTCTGGCAAATGCAAATTATTTGTAAGTCACTACTATTGCTTCTGAAACAAATTTCACAGCACTATAAAAATCATCTGACAAAACATAACAATATGGAGTGATTAAATGATGAATCGATGTATACATCAAATTTGAAATTCAATATTTTGTTCTCAAAACTTATGATTAGAATTTAATTTTTCAAAATTATAAAATTGAATTGCAATGAATTATTTATTAGCATATTCATAAATATTCATCTCAATCCGGACTCGTAATTAACGCCAAAGCAGACTGTTAGCACTTAAGGATCAAAAAATTCTTGAGAAACTTACTTCTCTTTGAGATGAACAGAACAACCGACACATTTGACTACCGAAATGTTGAATAATCAATTTGAAAAAAAGTCCATTATTCAGTGTGTCAACTAATGAATTCAGCAGCGGTTCATGCATATTTAAGGACTCAGATCTGACATATTCTAGTAAGGTATCCACATCTCTGATTGTAAGGTTTGTTGAAAGAGCAGACCGCAAAACCACTGCTATGTCATGATTATGCCGTGCTAGCAATTTCCACTGTTCTGTCATTTCGAGAATTTCTCGTCGGATCGTTGGTTTCTCGATCATTTCATTCCAAAGCTGAAATCTTACAATGATTGTAAGAAATGCATGACGAATTTTGGATGATTAAGATTTATTTTTACTCAATAGATTTTTCAGCAAAATAATTACTTACAAATGTACAAAATTTCTGCATCTTAATTAATATGATGCTACGAAAACTTGTAAATGATGAAAAAGCAAACAATAAATGTAATAAATTGAACATAAAAATTATTTGCTAGCGACTAAACCGAATACTGAAGTTATCGAAAATATTCTTACTTCATTTCTCAAGCAGTGCCATGCAGCGTCATCAATGATAAGTTGTAACTTTTGTTTGTAATTCACAACACAATCTTCCAGTTCGTCTTGGAGCTTTTTCTGACGAGCACTCATGAAATATATATAAAAAGCTTGCTCACGTGGTACTATAGCTGGTCGATCTAGCACCACGTCACCCCCTATAAAAATGTAACAAAATAAAAATGATCACAATTCAATTTCCATTTTCATTTCTTAAACAGAAAAGGCATTTTTATACTACCAGAACTCCTTCATCAGTATATAAAAACCAGGATATAGTGAGGTAATAATGTCATGGATGTTTGTATTTCTATCATCAAAGTGAAAAAATAGACGGAATCACAGGGCACAATTTGTAGAGATAGCAAATAGTGACCTAATCGTATCTTGCGATGTCTTAAGGGGGCAATTTTTTGAATAAATAACTGCCGGACATCTCCATCGGCAACAAATTTCTTTTCCTCGAGTTCCATATCTGCAAAATCTGATGTCATCTTCATGATTTGTTTGTAAAAAAAACTTTATTACTATCATTTTAAATAAAACAAATACTCAAAAAACTTTTAAATTGGTCTTATTTTCATGTTCACATGATACTAAACTAGGATAAATGCAATAATAGAATAAAGTCAAACCATTCGAGCGCTTGCTGGGAAGAATGATTTCTTCATCAGACTTAATATTTTCTCCACTGCAATGCCTCCCTTCTGCATGAACAATCGAAGTATCCCAGGCACTACAATAATTCTGAGGAAATTACAATAAATGAAGAAATGTTAGATATCTTAAAAACTTAGTGAGAAAAACTATCTTATCAGATGACAAATTCAATAAGAATGATCAATCGAAAAGCAGATAACATTGAATTCATTGGATATAAATAAAGATGTAAGAGAGCATAGATTTAACTGAGTTCTCAAAAAATTAATTATACTAAAGAGGTAAATATCGAAATTTATAAAATGAAAGAAATTTTTAGGATCAACCTATTATGACTAGTTCAAAGTATTTTGTTTCAAATAGAAGCGAAGATGCTACGACTACTTATTTAAATATGAATATTAGAACTTTTTCAATCAATTTATATGAATTTTTTTATAAAGCATAATTACTGAAAAATGAATGATTTCAGAAGAGATCGATTACAAAAATATAGCTGTTGAAAAAAATAAAAGTAGACTGAAACAGTTTTCATTGAATTGACACACTCATTTCTTCATAAATAATTAATTTTGAATTCAAACGGCCTATCCGATAAAAAACCAGAAACATACTTTTGTTCTGTATTTCTGCTTTCCAAATTCAATTCGTCATCGTCATTAGCGCAATATTCATGAGAGCCTTTTAAAGCCTTAAACTCCCCACTGAATTTTTTATCCAAACAACTGGTTTGAAACTCCAGGTTTTCGATGAATGGACTGGCTGAATATAATTTATCTCCGTAACTACGAATGATTAAAAATTTGACTTTACGAGAAGGTATGAAAACATGAAATGAATTATCAGCAAACAAATAGATTTAGATTTTACTTCTTTCATGAGAAACAAGCATGATATAAAATTTAAGTTTTAATGTATCGCTCGCTACAAGTTGATTTTCATGAATTATTGCTCCAATTTCTTTGTAGGACAAACCAAAACAGTCCTGAAACTTTATTTTGATGAAATGAATGGAAATCAAAATTGCGAAATATCTTTCAAGATATCGTGAATGAAATTACCCTATCTTCCTCAAAAACAATCATAAATTGTCCAGCCGTGCTGATTCCTTGTGTTTTTAATCGTACTACGCGCCATCTACGTTTATCAGAAAGCATGAATTCCCAAATTTTCTGATTTGTTACAGGTAAATCAGGAAATACCATCTAAAAACAAAAAATTTCAAATTGTGAAATTGCATCACTTTTGTAACACAGAAATAGTGAATGAGTGAAGAACAAATTGTCACAGAATCTTTTGAAACGTGACTTACTTTTTCCTCATAAATACAGTTACGAGCATAAGGGGGACGACAATTATAATATTGCAGAAAATCCATAAGAAATTCATTTGTATTGTAGCCATGACTAAACAAAACCTAAAAATGTAAAAAAATGAATAAACAAAAGTATCGATTACCACAAATTGAAATTTGCTACGAATAAAACTTACAAGTTCCACAAGTCCAACTAGAATAAGACTTACACATTCCATCAGTCCAATTAATGACTTATAATGAACTGATTATATTTCAGTTACGAACACTTTATCATATACATCTTTCTACAAGACTTTTCAACCAACGCTACTATAGCGAACTGCAAATAATTGGACTGCTAACCTCGTAGACGTAAATAAATATTTCGTACCTGTTGCCCACCGACTAAATAAGTTGCAACCATACGCAAATGAAAATCGTACGTAAACGAATGAACATGAGATAGTGATATAATGTTATCTTTCAATATTTCAAGATCTCTTTGGTTTCTATAATCGAATTTCTTATCACGTTTTATATTCAGTCGATTCAACTGAGCAACACTCCAAACAAAATATTGAACGCTGAAAAACGGAAGTTTGCTAATTTTAAATACTTGACGGTATATTATTCCAAAATTAACAACCCAAAATCCTTAATAAGGTGATAATTACATGACTTTTGCACAAATGATTATTTTAAACATTTCATAGATGTTTTGTAATAGTAAAATTTGAAGAAAATAACAATCCAAATACAAAAATTTATAAGAACGATGAAACTATCCTCAGTAGCATGATACATTTTTAATGAAAATAAAATGGATCAGGGAAATGAATAACCATATATTTGGTACTATTTTACTTTCTTAACAAATTTTTCAGAAATTATGAATAATTTTGCAAACCTGATATGTGGCTCAACAATCGAAATATATACAAATAAAATACCACCATCACACGCTTTATACATCCAAAAATTCGGAGATGATGCGGTACTCTGAAAATAAAATGACAAGAAAATCAAAAACTACAAAATCTTGTATTTTAATGCCGTTTTGATTGCATTTAAAATCACTGTTCTTGAAATAGGACAGATACAACGACAAACAGAACTATAATATAATCACATGCAAGTGGATATGAAGATGAATAATCTTTATTAATTTGTAACAAACATGCAGAATTGGGTAAATTTTATCATTTCAAAACATACTTGCATGTAAGAATGTAAACTATATCGGCCACCTATTTGCCGTGTAGCGGAATCTGAATTTGTTACATTCAGCAACCGTAATCCATTTGTTTTCAAATAATCAACATAACTCTAAAAAAAGAATTAGCCACTTTCATATAATCTTAATTAAACTACAGACATTACTACATAAATACTATAGTTCTCAAAGACATTAAAATCATGACTTAACAGCTTATAATGTCTAGGTTTTTGCGGATACAAACATCTGAATATTGAAAGTTATGAAATGAAAATGTTTTCCAATCACGCTTTACAAAAGGTAAAGCGTTACTATTATTTTTTAAAATTGCTCGACAACTATTAATAGGGTTGTAGCTCGACAGCTATTATTAGAGGTGTAGCATCTTTTCAACCGCTTCAATTTTATGCAAAAACAAATGTTCTACCTCGATCAGCATACACTGGATCTTCGAACAATACGGTTCACCTTCCTCTGAACTTCTGCCTAACTTTCGTGACTTACGTTCTGATGAAAACATCAATGTATTATAAGTTTTTGAACGGGTTGAACGAATCTAATAAAAAAATTGAACATTGAAGTACAGATAAATCTTGTTTTCTTACTACTTTTTGCATTAAAAAATTGAGATTTGTTAAGGATAAGAAAGTGTGATCAAAAATAAATTGTGGTTTGTACAATCTGAAAGATTTTTCTTTGTTGTTTATTTTTATATCATTTTTTTCCACTTGTGCTCGACATCACAAACATATGAGTGAAAAATAACTCACAAAATTTAAAGTCACTTAAACAAATACAACTGATTTTCACTTTAAAAATATGATAAATTTTTATAAATACAGTGATTTTTAATGCAAGTTTTCTAGATTCATGAAAAATCATATCCTACACATTTTTTTAAATGCTGATATGAAACCATCTGGTTAAAATGCATTGATCATTTGGCAGAAATAATTTCACACAGATAAAATCATCATTATAAGAAATTAACCCGAGATAATGATGATCTTTTCTCCATATACGACATTTTTGAATCCCGATCACGGTTTGTAAATACGTCGCCTGCCACTGCTTGACGAAAACTAAAATTAAGACACAAAAATCAAATAGAGAGAATAAAGATGAAGTAAAATTGCTAAAATAAACATACTCCTAATTCATTTCTATCTAAAACTTCCATTATATTGCAATATTTCAAGGAATGAAAAATTTATTTTTTATTCTGATGTACATTATTGAAATTTTGCTTGAAAGTTAGATTATCATAAATTGAAAACTATAAATTTTACCTTACAGCATTTTCAGTTCCTCTTCGAGAAAGAGCAACTAATTTACGCCATTTTGGAAAAAGTAATAGTGGCGAGTGAATGAAGTGTACCATTCGACTGCGTGAAATAATTCTAAGTAAATCTGATTTGTTTATTTTATCAGCATCATTTAGCAACTCCTCGTGTATTCGACAAAATAGCTTGCAATCACGAAGCATCCATTTCATCTGTCATTTAAAAAAATTTCTAAACGTGACATCGGTGCTGCTTGTATTTGAGGTCATTTTTGATCTTAATTCCGACTTTAAAATTAATACTTCAGGAACCAGAACATACATTCCACAATAAATCAACGAAATAATGAAAGTATGCTTGATATATACACAGAACGGTGTAGAGGTTGTTCATTACTTTCATGAAGTACAGTTATATTTCCAACTTCTACTAATTACAGAACTGTAATAAAAAACGAAAATGCTTGCAACATGAAGCCGAGAAATCCATAACAAGAACGACTCTAAAACCAAAGTAAGTAGAGATTTTAAGAGTTCAAAAACAAATTAGATTTAGCTACAACCAATCTGAAGCCATCATTCTTTACAGTTATTTTAAAACTGCGTAACAAATAATAAGCACAAAATGGATGATTAACCAAGAAAAAGGATACCTCTTTTTCGAGAATAACCATTTGAGAGCACTGATCTTCAAATAGATTTATTTTATTCAAATTAAATGGCAAAAAAGCAAAGGGTGTGTGCCGATAAAGATGCATAAACGGTTCAACCTGAATGCACTGTGATCCACTTAAAACTAACCTGCAAACAAGTGAATAACCTTCTACTTATCGAAACTTCAAAGTCACACATTTATGCCGTCTTAAACTTAAAGATTAATAAAAATAGTTGAAATAATTCGTTAAATACGATTCTATGATCATGACTATTTCGGTAATTGTTAATGGCTTCAATATTTAACTATTTATGACCCAAATCTCATTTTATTTTAAAAAATCACTACCTCTGATCAAAGTATGCTGACCCATATTGCGGTATTTCATATTCACTTAACAATTCACTATTTAACCAAACAAGCTCTTCGCTATTCGGAGTGATGCGACCGGATAAATGTGTAATACCCATTTTATGCAAACCAATTTCACGAAGCAATCTTGAACGAGCGTTCTGCCACAACAAAATATTTGCAACTACTTTATGGACATCCTCAGCAGTTTCAGAAGAATAATTGTACAAATATAAGGTGACCTAAAAATAACAAATAATTATTACAGCAAAACAAATATTATGCATATGAAAGATGAAGTTTAAAAAAACACTTAATACCCAAGATAAGTTATAGATAAACTATGTATGCAAAAAATGGATTTAAAAAAAGAAAATTTTCCAATATTTATATTAGCAATCAGAAAAGATTGAAACCATTCACAGAAAGTTTTTAAAAAACTTGAAATCCAGATCATAATTTAGATTTGTTATTTTAGGTATAATAAAAACTAAATAAAAAATCTTCGATTAGCAAACGGACTTTCTTTGCTCAACAGAATACACTACTTACTGTTTCACCTCTGGATAAAAGATATAGTAGATGCTGACGAGGAACAAATGGAACTGTTTGAGGTAAAAAACGCATTGAACAAGCTGCAAAGATATTTTTCGATAAACTGTACAATATAAACAACAAAAACACTTTCACACGAATGAGCAAATTATTTATTGTTACTATTTCAATAACAATTTGCCGTAACACAAATATCCTGTAGAAACTTACAATGACAAACAATTAGAGAAAAAAACTTCCTAACCTTTAGGATCCTGAAAAATTTTCCCAAAAGCAGCTGGTATGTCACCTGATGCAGAATCTGCTCCATATTTTAATATCATTTCCGAATATTGGGGATTACAAGCAAGCATTATTAACGACGGTTCTTCGTTTTCAGCAACAAATATTCGTCCAAAGTCATTCTCAAGAAAGTGAAACATTCAAAGCGGTCTTACATTCATAATGAAAAAAGCATAGAGTTTTAGGTAACAGAAAATTAAAAGTCAAAGTTATATAACAATCGTAAAAACATCCAACTCTGTGATAGAGACACCACGATTTCGCAAAACAAATTTTTGAGAAAACAGTGAGTGCAATACAAAATAAGTTTTGAAAAACCGTACAGCAAATGTTAAGACGTTTTCATCCAACGAGCTCTGCCTCGACAACTGGTTCTTGCAACGCGATTCAATATGACTGAGTACGATTGTCTCCTGACTCAAAATTTCGGATAACTTATCACGTATGGCATTGAAGATCTAAAACTCCATAATTTGATGAAAACTATTTTTCGTTACACATCAGCTAATAAAATGTGTTAATATAGACATCATAATCACCAAACTTTGCCTTATACAAAATAGTTTGATAAAGCAAAAATATCGCATACGTAGAACAGCACAAGGCCTAACAATGAAAATTAAAGAACCGCACTTTTCGGATCGAATGATCACTTTCGCAGTGAAATATATGCCTTTTAACAGAAAATTGATGCTCCGTATTTTTTACTTCCGAGACGACGTGGTCGAACCATTGCGCAGCTATCGCGAGAAATTGGGAATTAACTGATGTATAACTTGCTTTAGTATTACCACTGCTTAATCCATCTAAATGAAAAAATTATTGATAATATATAAGTGTATGAAAGACAAAAGATTAAAGTCTCACGTAATCCCATGATCGTTTGATAATCATTATTTGCTATCAAAGAAATTCATATATCACAGTCAGCTAATCGACTTATTTCAAAAATGGAACAAGTGTTTCCGAATGGATAAAAGTTTAACAAAAATATACAGATTGAAAACAGTAACTGAAATAACTCATTACTCTACTACACAGTATTAACACAATATTCTATATTTATCCGTCAAAACTCCTTTCATAGTATCAGTCTGCAATGAGTTCTAGACCTCCTTCAGTCCTAACAATATTAAACTCCTTTAAGCTCTTGAACTAGCTTGATCAAAAAGCGCAGAAACAAAACTGTATTATACAATGTGAATACAAAATACTAATGACTTCTTTCAGTGCGATTTATAGCACTGTTCTGTACATTAAGAAACATTACCCTTAACTTTCAATTTTCCTAAACTGCGTTGTTGCAGTTGTCGATTCGAAAGCGGTAATTGCAGATGAGATTCTAGTTTCAAAAGAGATTTAGTGATAAAATTTGAGTATGAAGCATCGCTGGAAGATCGTTTTCTGAAAAACTTGAAAATCACTTTTTTTGGAATTCTTCCTGCTAAACAGAATACAATTCTATAAAAATGGGCGAACTCGTTCCCCGTAACTGATGGTTTCATATATCAGTATAATTCCACTTTAAAAAAACCTTGGTTCGCCAGGATCGAGAGATACGCCGATCTGTGAACTCGGGAAGAAGTGAGTGGGGGTGTGCAATAACGGAACGCTTAGGAGACCAAATTCAGTGACCAAATCACACAGAGCCTGCGGGAAGTAAAATTACAAATATTGATCTCTAGTGTTACTTTCCGGAAAAATAAAAACATTAAAATGGAAGAAAATTCTTTTAAAAATCTGAAATGAAATCTTAACATATCGGTTCACTTTTAAACAACATAAATCAACGCAACTTTGAAATCATACTAAAGTAGCACTAATTTGGATTCAAATTTTGATCAATTTTAAGAATACTTGTTGCAAAGCCCGTCGAAACAATGGTTTGAGTGTTGATAAACCGACATCGCCTACCTGCCAAATCGCATACTGAACTAAATTCGATACAGCACCTGCATGAAAAATGATCTTTGAACAAGAGATGGACTAAATACAAATTCAAATTAAAAGTGACTAAACCTTAAATCATTCTCACTGTTTCGTCGAGAATGTAAAGATGACAATCACTAAATGAAAGAACAAAAATATGTATGATTCATGATTCAAATCGAAATGCATATAGAAAGAATTTATTAATAACAACAGAAAGGACTGTACCTGTATTTTCAGAAAGTAATGAATCTGGTAAAGGAAGCGACGTGGCGACACAACGTGTTAATTCATGAAAACGCTCCCTAGAAGAAAGACGAAGTTTGCCACCTCCCGGATACAACTGAGAATGAGTACTAGAGCTGATCTGAGCGTTTTTTAACAAACCCACGCAGGCGCCACTTGAATCTACTATGCGTATTTCAACACATGCAATTCCTAAAATTTGTCCTTTAAAACTATTAGAGATTTTTATTTTGAAAAATACAAAGAAATTTCCAACTGAAAATTGAAATAAATGGAGAATAAATATTGCTTCAAACAAGCAACACAAGATTTTTTCTAACAGGAACTGATAAATTTCAATTGTCCCTTTGCTTCAAAGTTTTAGCTACTCATGATGGAAAGTAATGCATACCCATATTTGAGGAGCCTTTTGTGGGAGGTTTATTGATCAAAAAAAAGCGAGGTACATAATTACTGCAAGTAGACTGTGAACTGAATTGCGAATAAAAATGAGTTCGTTCCGTGGATACCGAACTATTTTTGTTTATTCCACCACCACAATCCCGAAACCGAGCTTCTGCTGTGAATGTAAGCATTTGTTGGTAGATGTAGTAGTAAAGTGATCCCAAATAATCATGAGTAAAATTTGGCAAGGTGCAATAATGCACTGCAAATGGCTTAGCTGGATCGCGTTGAATAAACTGAAATAGAAATGAAAAGTTGGAAGCACAAATCAAAATGTATTGAAAATTCATGATTAGTTATTTTAGATTTCTGAAACTATGATTTTCTAAAACATTTACCAACCACACAAAAATAATGGAAAATAAGTGGAAAGATTCAAAAAAATAAGAAACCCAATTATTAAAATGCACATTTCAGCTTTACTATTTTTCTGCACTGAAAATTATGATGCAACCTTATTTATTATTTCAGGCTTCTAAAATACATTCTGCTTCTATATTCAATGGAATCCCATAAAGATACTAACTGGACTTTAATCATATAATCACTTGTTATTCCATCTATGACTAGTCACACTCACTTGATGTCAACATTTTAATTTCAAAAAAAAGAAATACACCTCTACGTCAGCAGCCGTTAGTCTAGAATGCAAATTTTTCTGTAATATCATAGTTAAGTCTTCAAGAATTCGCAATTCAAGTCGCTTCTGCATCGTATCCACGATTGACTGCATGACTGTACCCGGCTGATGAATTCCATGAATTGTCAACAATACATTATTTTGAAACTTTTCACTAATCTACAAATACAAATTTCAAATATGATCTAGACCGCTCAATGCCTGTTTTATATTTTGCAGCAATGAACATTTTAACCAACCGATTTTTTGAAGTTGTCATCATACAACAACTAACTTACTTTATAATAAATAAGGCAACCAATAAATTGCCCTAGACAGGTTGATCCTAACTTTACAGATTTAACATTTACTTTTTTTGACATAACAAAAAAAAAACAACCCTACATAGTCACTAAAGATATCAATCCAATGACTAAAATTTGAGAAGTACATTAAGATTTTTCCTACTTGATAGTCTGCTTATATGTCTTCCTTATTCAAATTGGAGACAGAAGTAAGCAACAGAGGGTAAGACTTAAAAAAAATATTTCAGAAGTAATGAACATAATATATTTTAACACCTCATCGATGATTTTCGCATCATAATTTGAACAACGTTCCCTGAAACTTTCCTCGCTATCAAAAAGCTGCATGTAAAATATTTTCCGCTTAGTATCTTCACAATACACATATAAATTACGACGATTACGAACTGCAAACTGTTCAATTCCTTGACGCAGAACATCACATCCCATTACTGAAATTTATATTTTTTCTGAAAGTATTCATTATGGCAAGTATGTACAGTAAAAGCGCCTAAATTAGAATCTTAGCCTGTTACTTAAAAGTCTGGCTTATTTGTTTAGACTCTACACTTTTCTATTACGACAAACATCTACTTTGATTTTTCTTCAACAAAAAACTTTCAAAAGTAATAGAAGGTAAGACTGTACCTAAACAGTATCCCGGTCCTCGCATTTCGCTACGTAAACGAGGATGAATGTAAAACCAGTGATGTGCAACAATGGGACATGCAAAATGACCAGGAGAATAATATACTTTTGGTGGCACGTAGCTTGCATCATCTTCATTATTCTCATCAGAATCTCAAAAATACAAAATTGAAGAAAAAATAAGATTAAAAAAATATAAAAGAAGCTAAAACTACTTGATGAAGCAGTTAGAAAAAGTAAACCATATTAAAAATTCTTTCCTTTAAGGTGATTTTTCCAGATTTCGTAAAACTACCTTAAAAACGGAAGAAATTTTCAGGTTAAAAAAATATTGAGCATTAATTATTTTTGAACCAATTAGAAAATAGTAGAGATTAACTTCTGCTTTCTTAATTTTTTTTAAGCTGAAAATTTCGGTAACTTTAAAAATAAAGATTCTAGTTATTTTTTTATGGCGCCAAACCTCTATTTCAGATAAGTATGATAAATCTAATCAGAAATTTTAGATGCAGATGTAACAATGCACAATTAGCGCACGGTAACTGAAATATAATATCAACTATACACAAACTATGACAAATAAAGACAAATTTCGCATGCGTCCAAAACATAAATTAAATTAGCGCACGGTAACTGAAATATAATAACAACTATACACAAACTAGGACAAATAAAGACAAATTTCGCATGCGTCCAAAACATAAATTAAAATTGAAAGTTACAGAGAATAAAAAATAATAATACACTGATATGGAAAAAAATAAATATTAATAAAAACGAAAAATAAATACTGAAAAAAGAAATTAATATAGAAAACTACATACAAACAGAGGTAACGTCTTTTCCCGTTCTTAATGTTATATCTTTATGAACCACTGAACGCGTCAATTTTATATCAGAAATTGAATCATGACCATCCGAAGGACTGAACTTATGTGAAGACGCCTCACTCTCAATTAATAAGTTATCGCATTCATTTGTCGAATGCATTTTTTCCAATAATAGTTCCTGAAAACGTAGACCAAAGTCCATTGGGTAGTATTATGTCCTCATGAATCTTGCTACACGAATTCATTATCAAAACATTAATTACAGCATAGAAAGTTAAATCAACTGTAAGATGAAATATCAAAGTGACAGAAGTTAAAATATATCGTCCAGAGAGAGATATAAAAATGTGTTATCACAGCTTGACTAATACGTTACTTTCTGCGTTCAAAAAGATATCCCCGTTCATGACTGGAAAGATTGTTTCTACTGCTAAATTTGCTGAGGCCTCAAAATCTAAAACATATTTTAAAACAACACATCTTACCTGATTAATAATCCTGCATTCATTCTGTATAGTTTCTAGCAAGAAATCAAAAACTTTTTCGTGATGATGGGCATATCTGTAAGTATTTAATCTTTAAAAATTATCATGTGAACAGCAATTACTGAAATGTAAAAGAAATTGATATAATGTTAAATTTTAATGCGTATTTACAGTTTATTTTCAAAAGTATGAAAGCGCATGAAGCATTTTTAAGTGAATCACCTATCACAAAAATACACTTGCAATCGCTGTATTTCAACACTGACGATGATCCAAAAATCACGCAGTTCGTGATCGCTATTATCCAGTCTTTCTAAAATCAATATTTTTAACATTGCGCTTTTCTAATTTTTAATTGAATAGAAATACTGAAAAACTTTCAAGACCTGAAACTTTAACAGGAACTGCAACACACTTGTTACTTCAAGCAGAAACCTGAACGAAGGAATCCAATTTTGATCTTCATTAGGATCTGCAGATGTTTCTCTATTTTTATGATATTTAAATCCTAAAAATAGCCTACAGCTTGTCCTACATAAAATACGAATGCACCTGCAATTTCCGAAATATCCGCCGAATCACAACAATATCTGGCATTAGCTTTGAACACAGGTGCACTGCTATTCCTAAAAATTTTTCGGTCAATTTCCTTAATTATAAAAGCAAAATCAATGAATAATATGTCAAAATTTTCACTGATCTTAAACAGTACCTTCGTCTCATTTTTTTTCCCGATAAATTAGTATGTAAAGCCTGCATGCTCGATACTCGTCTTTTTAGCGTTGTTTTAACTTGTTCTTCGACGCGGTCCGTAAAACTGCTGCTACTTCGTTGAGACTATATTTCCATAATTCATTATGCCAGAAAAAATCAAATAAATAAATAAAAAGAATAGACCCATAATAAGCAATTAGAATTGAAAGAGACTTCAATGATTCAAAATAATTGTAAAATGAATAATAAGTGTTTTTTGTCAAAACAATAACCTTCAGTGTTATTTTTGCAGTTGCACGCCCCTGATTCATAAGAGTATTTCTATACATGTCAACTTCTGTTACAGCACAGCAATAAAACAAATTATTGGATTCGGGATGTACTTGTAATTTGCAGTAAAGTAAATGAAAGCTTTTAAGGCGTTCTTTTAAACGACGTATAGCTTTGATTTGTTCCATCACCATAACAATTTGCAATACTTTAACTTTAATCCGATCAGGATCACTCCTTTCTCTTTGCTACAAGAAAGTTTTATGTCATTATCTTGACATCCTTTTCACCAAGCAATAAAAAGAGTCATTGAATTTTGCGTTCTACAACTTATCACATTTTCACAACAGCAAAAGCGCCCGAATGACTCTTGATTAGAACCATTTTGTGTGCACTTAACGAATATGATCACAGCTTACGAGTGAAAAAATTAGTATATGGCCACTTGCAAGACATGAAATGCTTAATAGCTTGAGGAAGCTTGAATAACTTTCCAACAATTCACGATGCAAAAAGAAAATTACTGAATATTGTAGATCTAAAGTAGAGTAAACTTAATTCTGAAAGAAGAAAGTCTACAAAATAAGATACTTTACCTCATTCGTCGTGAATGATATTACTTTTTGTAATGTATCAAGTGTAACATCTTCAAAACGTGATAGCACTAACACTGTTTCCATACGAAGTAAACGTGAAATCCCATACTGCAGTCGACGAACGGCTTCCTTTTCCTGAAATAATTATAAAGTATGCTAAAGATACTGCGGTCCCAGTGGAGTTAATTATTTAAAGGAATATCAAATGAGTCAATAATTACCAGCTGCGGAAGTTGGCATATGACATCAGAAGTTTCTGTCACATTAGGGCTGTCGAAATCAAAATAAATAGTAGATTTATGAAAAGCTCTTGGAGAACAATCAAAAGTTTCGGGTGAAGCTGCATAAAAATCCGATTGCTCCAAAGGTACTTGTCGTACAGGCCAAGACAAAACATATATATCAAACGAAATACCAATCAAATCCATCGCTGAAAAATTTTGTTATATAGTTGTAGCTTCGTCTTATTTATTTGTATTGCTGTTCAGTTTTAAAAAAACACAATAATTAACAGCAATACATGATTGATCATTGCGAAACTAATACACATATCATATGACTTTGTTGTACCAAACAATACTTTGAGAACAATTTTTAATAATAACTCAATGTGAAGGAACTTAGAAAACAAAATTAACTTATTATTAATTACAAATTATTCTAGTTGGACCTCAGTTCACAACCATTTCTTAATATCAATTCAGTGTGAATTTACCAGCCAAATTTTTATTTGCAATATTCGAGCACTGCTTCAGTAATTCCATAACGCAAAATGGCAGATGATCGATAGGAAATGTGAAGATTTCTGTATTAGAAAAACGTACAGTACAAGAAAGATTCAAAAATAGAGGAACTGCAGTATTATCATCCAAATGAAATGTTTCACCAGCAGATGACCCTGAGACTGTGACAGATTCGAAACTGACACTAGACTTGTTGCTTTCCACACTATCTAAATTACAACTATAAAAAAATAAATTCCATAAAATCAGAAGTCCTTATGATTATTATTCAAATTTTTATTTCCTTTACCTTTTTCTGCTTTTTCCTCGCCATCATCAATACAACAGAATTGAAGATTTAAGCAAGGCGCGTTACTTGTGAAGTCTTTTGTTCCAGGTAAATCAATGGTCAAGTTCTGCAAACAGTTGAACAGCAAACAAAAAAATAAAAGACCCAAGCAAACTAACTGTCGTCCTTTTTGCTTGAATACTTTTTTAATTTCAATATATAGTTTATCAAATGCGAAGAACAATTACGGCTATCTCTCCTTGAAATTATGATTTAATTACAGATATGGCCAAATGATCTTTCTCACAACAAAGAACAATGAAATCGTATCGCAAAAATGTTGGAAAGGAAGTACTTGGTGCGCTAAATGTTGTCTGTTATCCCGAACGAAGTAAAAATAGCTTGGAAAATTCGGAATTTTTCTGTAACAAAGGATTTTCCATACATTGAAATCCAAATTAATCATACTCGAAATCGAAACAGAAATAATGATGTGAATAGATCATTTAGATAAAAAGAGGAGATAAAAAGGTAAATTAATTTTAAAAACCTGAAATTTAGCGAAAGAAGTTCACTGAAAGCAAATCGAAAATCCTCTTGTTCTCCTTCACATGTTTTTTCTTCTCCCTCTCTTAATCTGCAAAATATATCACTTCAAAATTAGCAACATTATTCATAATTATCGAACTAATAAAACGCTTCATACAATCATAATTATCTTCCATGAAAATTTCTGTATCCGAAAAAATGAAATGTTTACGATTTTTTTTGTCAGATAAAAACAATACATACCGAAAAGTAACGTCGTCCTTAAAATAATCACTACTTTTATTTTCATCACTGATATCCGTACCTGAGTCACCAGTCTAAAACTCATAAAATTTCGAAAAAAATCTATCCTCAATAGATCATTCTTCTTGATATGAAATGCAAAAAGCTCCTAAGATTAAATGGAAGTACCCAAACTAATAACGAAGCAAAACTAATATCTATTGGAACGCCTTTAAAATTTCCATGATTGAAATCCATAAACTCTAGCAGTAATTACAACTCAACATGAACAGAAAAAAAGGAAAATGAACTTAACAGCTGAAGGAATACTGCTTCATAAGCTATGTTATATTCAATCCCACTCATTATTTATGCAGTCAAGATAAAATCTTTAACATCAAGAATTAAGACTCATTACTGAAAACATTTTCTTGTTTCTATTAATCCTTGTGATTATACTCGACATTCAAAATCAAACCTGTCTACGTATATTGGCAACATGAGAACATAAGAAGTGCAAGCATTCATTGATATCTTCAATTTCAATAAATGCCTGCTCACAACGATCTTCTAACACTTCCACTAAATCCTCGTAAGGTATATGAACACCTGAACATTGAATTACTGAATCATAACACAGATTTCGAATGCTGATACATTTGAATATAACAAAGAGACAAAAAATACAATTGTGAATATAAATAACTAGATTTGCTAACAAATAAGTGTTTGCAAGTAACGAAGACTGATGAAAAAAAAAGATTCTACTGTTAGCATAATTACCTTCTAACAATGAGCGATAAACTGAAGCTACAAGTGCTCGAGAAAAAAGTTGGTCCTCAATTGCCTCACAATATGAATGCAAATCAAAGGAGGTATGAACACGCCCATCTGTAGCACCGATTCGAGCAGTCGACAGCCAGTGTAATTCTAATTCATTTCTTTCCATCTCTGAATTCCTTATATGTAACAAAAATTTACCGACTCTAAAACATAAATTTCTATTAATACTATAACTTTTCTCCGACCTATGCAACAACTCAATCCAACAAGTCATTATAATTTTTCTACTTCCATTTGGAACTTATTTCTGATACACAGCGTAAACCACAATTTCCTTAATTTTATCTTTCACTCTCCGTCCATTTTTCATGAAATTGATACAACACAGTAAAAACGCACGCAACGCATAATCAAAAGTTTTTTTTATACCTCCTGCTTTGGTATGTTTCTATAATCTTATTTTTAACAATTTTGACAATGAACTGCTATAACGTCTGATTTCTTGAAGTAATAACGATATCGATTGTTTATTCAAATAAATTTCATATCTTTAATCTATACACTTTTCAGACCATCATCCTACCGTATGACACATCCTCAATTATTCCCTTAGAAATATAAACGAAATACAAATGAACTCTAACATCTTTACAAATTTTTATAAATTGACATTTCGAACTTCGAAAATTATTTAATATATAAATGGTTGGAATTTGATTGCACAAAACATTTTATCCTGAATGAAAAAAATTCAGTCCGAGCTTTGTTTATTTGGAAATTAAAATCACCAGGTCTCAGTTTCGGAACATAATATTCATTAAAGAATGAAAAAAACCAGCCAGCAGTTTTGACTAAGCTATTTGTACTACATTCTTTAATTTTATTTTTCAAATTAATTATCATATTAATCAAAACATATGGTAGTAAGACGCAAAAAGTATCCTTTCATATATTAATGCAGCGCACATGAACAACCTATAGAAACATTCAACTAACAAGAATGAAATTTACCAGAAATACGTCGCAATCTTCGATGCTCACGTGATACCATTATATCTCAATATTCTTGAATTTAAGAGTTTGCAACCCAAAAATTTAATAAAAAGTATTATGTCCAGCAAAAACTACCGCTTACTGACCTGTTTCATAAATGTATTCTGTACTGATCCTCTCAATAATTAGTGGATTTTCATTTGCCTCATACTATACACCTTGCTGAAAAAGTTACTTGTACTGTTTCCAGTTCTGCGTACTTGTCGATTTAAATGAGCCAAAGTAGAAGTGGGACTTTTGGTTCGATGATCTGATATATACGTTTCGCATCGCCTAGGTTCTTTATGTGCCAAATGATGTGCAATCATCGGTTCATCACAGTGGAAAACCAAAATTGGTATGGTAGCTATGACATCAGACGTTGCCATGATGACGTGCTGTGGATTCACCAACAATGCTGTAATAACAGCGCGCCAAGGTGACAGTCGTGAGACATAAATACGCGTAGGGCAAAAACTTTCATCATCTGTGGTCCGCAGCACCCGTTTATCTTTAGCATTAGGTCTTCTTAACACTGATTCATGAATACCACTGATAATTTCCAGCCAAAAATTAGGATTTCGCACCTCAATTGTCACATGAGTTACTTTGGCCAATTCACGGTGCAAACTTTCCAGCAGAATACATAAACGGATATTACTTGGTGAATCTTCGCTTTCTAAAATATATGTATATATCATAATAAAACAAAAGACACTGGTAACATTCCAAAGCAATCATAACACGGATGTGTAGCAAAAACTGAAAAAAAATCATATAATACTACTTCATGCCATAATATAGTTTAATTTTTTCAGTTTATTTTCACTTTTCAGAATTAAATGCTTTTTAAGGATAGAAAGAAACTTTCATAAGTTTGATATAATGGAATTTCATCATCATGAGTTATTACAATTATACTTTAATGAATAGAGAAAAACACTGAACAAGACCTACGATAACTCAGCGTCGGTAATAGCAATAGTTCACGCTCTGTTGCGTTTTTCAACAAGGATCTAATATAAAAACAATCTTGCATGACTTCTAGATTCGCAGAAAGTCGTTCAAACTTTCCAAATTCCACACCGTCTCGACAATCAGCAAGAGTGAAATGCGAACAAGAATAATGATGGGTGCACAGAGACATCAGTTGATCCAACGTTGATAATGAACAAATAATATCTTCATCTATAGCTCGAATCTGAAGCAACAATAAGAAAATATACTTCAAGTGAAATTTTTGAATTTTTCTTCTAAAAAACTAAATCAATAAAATTTGATAGACACACAATATTTTATGTCAGGAGCATACTACTAAAAATTCTGAAATTTATACTAAAAATGAAATTTTACCCTCATACTCAAAGTTTCTTAATCTTCGTTAAAAACAGTGTTCCGAACTTCAACTCTGACTAGATGCATTCATAACATGAGTTTTTTAGCAACACATTTATATGACAGCAATAGAGAATGATAAAAAAGAAAATAATCCTACTGCAAGTCGAAAATAAAAATACGACGTAAACAATGAGAAGCACTGATGTGAAGGATTAGAACAGGCAGTTAAATGGAGGAATAAGAATCTCACTGACTCCAAACATTCAGTGCAGATCCTTTCCTCCACTTTCGTGACTGTCCAAAATGACTTCAGAATGTTTGCAAGTAAGAAAGTGTACAGTACGAATCTTGGCAAAATCGGATAATAAAAAGGTTTTGATGTCAAAATATAGGTAACCATTAATACAGTATATTGAATTTGGTAAGGTCTAAGATCGTCACTTTTTCCACGAAATACACTCATAGTTCTATTTACTCAGTCCATCAAAAGCCATTTCTGATAGCAGCCAAATGCTATTTCTGATCCAGCTAATAGTTTATACCGATTTTTTAGGCCCAAAAACGTCTGATAGCAAATTTTCAATGTTTGAGGGCGAAAAATTCGCAAAACAAATAAATCGAACGAGGAAAAGATAGGTTTCAACCAATCAACGCCAGAAAGCGTTATCAGCAAGTAACAACTTCACAGACGACATCATGATATGGAAGAACGTTATCAACAAGACTACCATTCCACAATGAACATAGTTTGTCATGCTTTCATAAAAGTGTTTTCTTTTTTCCTCAAGACAATTGTGTAAAGCTGAATTTTATGATAGAAAATTAATGAGAGACAAGGAATCCTCAGACATCACGATAGACCACTACCTTTAAAAGACTATTTATATTATCATATATAAAAGGACTTACTCTAATATTTCATGAACATACTGACTCTACCAAATATTAGCTTCATACATACATGATGAACAACAGTTCATCTTAAGCTTTTAAAACTTCTAAGATTTTTCAGCACATAACAACATGAAAATGTTGAAACTACGACCTGTAATTAACCTATATAATGTAAAAAATTTTCTTATTTGCACAAAGATCAGCTGTTATTTCCACTGGTGAAAAAAGCAACTGGTATCTGTAATATATATTTTTGATAATATTCAAAAAAAGAGATGAATGAGAGATTTCGCCCTGATCACTCGATGCACAACATGTAAATCTAAAGCCACAACTTGGCAAATTCAAATAAAAATTTTTCAGAGCTAGTTGTTTCAAACAGCTAAATAGTGAAATTCATGATTTTCATAAACCAGACGTGTCTTACACTTATTTCTTCACGCATCAGAGGCTATTTCCGCAAAAAACTCAGAAGAATATGCTAAGAGCTAACATCTAAAGCAAAATACTCCCTCTCAAAATGACAAGTTTATCCATAATAAGCGCATGCAAAATATCACTAATACTATTATATAATAAATATAAAGCATAGATGTACTAATGTATCACTTTTTAGCATGCATTTCTGAAAGAGAGTAGCTTACTATTATAAGCGGCTTACTCGCTGCTATAACCATAATTCAATAACAAAGCTGAAGGTAAACAATGCTGCTATAACTATAATTCGAAAATAAATAGTTGCATTATCTACAGAAGCAAACTCTGATTTCAGCTCCTATTTTTTAAACATAAGAAAAAAAAACTAGTACCAAACGTTTAAATATTCATTTCTTAATTTATGGTATAATAATTTGCAGATCTAAAACTTAGAATATCAGTACATTAAATACCTGCTCTTCAAGAGCCAAAGCGTTGGATGGAGGATTGCTAACTGCAAGGGGTTCAGACCACATTTCTGTCATTAACTGTAATCCGACATCATTTTTCAGAGTGAAACTATCATCCAGTACAGCTTTATTAGTTTGCATACTTCGCATTTCAAAAATTCTGCAAACCATGATAGGACATTTTTCGAGCACATATCAAATAAAAAAGCAAGTCAATGGAAAAATAGATTAGTTACATATATAATTTTACTTTTATTTTATGTTTATTTTATTTATCTGTATTTATAATTAAAAACTAAATAAAAAATAAAAAACTACTTCGATAAAGATGGTATTCTGTCTAGCTCTTCCTTTGTTACACGCAACGGACGAATGACTGACAGTGGGAAGATTACATATTGAAGTATAGCCTGGCTACTGTGCAGTTGCTCTCCTGTGTCACCAACATGCTTTATCAAATTAATAATTCCATCATTAAAATAAGCAATATGAAATCCTTCGTTAAGGCGCCTCCTGAACTATCAGATCATGGAGATTTTTGAGAAAAGTATAAAGATTAACATTATCAATCAACAACACTGACCAAAAACATGTGGAAGGAAAACAATTTGTTAAACATAAATCAATACTAAGATTGCTTGTTTATTTAATAGAATTGTAATTTGTATCCGAAATCTTCATTTTCTTACCATATGTATTAGTTAATAAATTCAAATTCCGCGCTAGTTAATGAAATTACTTATGACATCATTCGAAAGTCATATCAAATATTAACTTGATTGCATAAATAAGAAATTTAATCTTTTAAACATTCTGACAATGTTATCAGACCACTAACAATAGGAAAAGTAAAAAATGATGAGTTAATTTACGCAGAATGTTTAAATAGGTTTGGCTTTTCACGCACACAATGTGTGACTGAAATTTTAATTTAATATTTTTCAACGTTTGCATATGAAATCACTAACTGTAAAATAGTGTGAAGAATAAAATCAGCAGAAATGCAACTGACGGGTGACGATAATGGGAATGCTTTCCTGAGATACCAGATGAAACGCCTGAAAATGTTTTCATTGAATAGTCTAGTCTAAATTTCATAACAACAAATTTTAAATCAAAATTTCATGTATATTTTAAACTATTTATCACCTGCATGAAAAATATTTAGCTAGTGAATTATGCAACACTAAATCTCGGCTTTGTTCATCGATTTTTAAGCATATAATACGATTTAATACAAGCGGTATTTGCTTATATCGCGCAAGCACAATTTCTAATGGACGATTGATAATTGTTAGTGCAGGTAAAGGCTGAAAATAGTATCCCATATATTAGTCCTAGATGCATTTTATAGACATTGCCATGTCTTCTAATGTTACCGTTGTTTCAGAAACTGTAGTGCAAACATCATCCACACCAGCAAATTCGAGCGTTCTAGTATAAAACAAACTTCGTTCAACAGACAAAGACATAATATTATTTTGCAGTTCCTCAATCACCTAAAAAAAAATTTCGACAGTTTTTAAAAATCTGATGTGATGAAATAAGCTAAAGGAATGTTTAAACCACATACAACGTTAAACAATTTGGTAGATATATTGAATTACAAAAGCAAAGTAAAACAAGTGAGAAAAAATCAAACTTTTTTTTTAACTGACAACGGTAGTCCATCGAGAAATAAAAGCTTAATAACAACAAGCTGAGTTTCAACGGTCGTCTTGATAATATAAAATGACTTCAAAGAATTCTGATCATCACTAAAAAAACTGGTGCAAGAACAAAAAGATAACAATAGATAATTTCTCCGTAAGTCATATCAGATTAAGAAAAAATAAAACGAGATAACATATAAGAAACAGAACGAACACTTATGCAAAAAAGTGCAATAAAGATAGGTTAAAACGTGCAAAAGTTTAATTTACATAATTACAAACTCACTACATTTTAACAGCAATATTAATGCTTGAATACAAGAACCGAATTTCAAGATTCAAAACCACTTTACTGATGAAGTAGTAAAAATTATACAACTAAGTTCGTGAACGAGAAACTTAAATTTACTTGCAGCAAGGATTGTAAATTCAACCTTTCAATGAAGTTCACATATGCTTGCCCATGAACTAACGTGAATGTTGCCATTTTTGAAAGCATGTTGTAGAATGCACTTAATGCAATCTGCGATGTGACTTTAGCATTTGAATTTTCTCTTAAAAATAATCCTTGTGGTAATGGGTGATCGTGAGTAAGAATTATACGAAAAGTGTATAACTGTGACCATTTCTGCCTGAAAAAGCAGAGCAAAATGATACTAAAAAAAATGCTCTAAGATAATCGAAACTTGATACAAAATTCAGATGAAACACCAATTTAATTCCACATTTAATTGCAAAAGAAAATAATCTGAATCATTTTCATGACAAAGCTCTTTACTGTTATCAAAAATAAATCTTTACCACAGTCTATTTTCAAATTCACATATAATTCGCCAATACTCGACAAACTTTGCAGCAGCCGAATTGCACAAACATAAGTTCTCCAATTCTCTAAGAAAAAATAAATTTTATGCCTAAACACGTAAATTACTATGAGTCATAAAAGAAGAAAATGAAGGTTTTTCTTACATAGACACACTACAAAGCGTATAAAAAGTGACCCGCGAAGAAATGTACGAAGATTGAACACTATTAAGTAAAATTACATTAATTTGTCTAAAACAATTATGAGGGCTGCTGATGCTACAGAACTCACCCAGTACTGATTGTAAGCACAGCTTTGTCTTCTTTCATAACATATCGAAACAATGACTTCCCTTTAGGAAGTTCAAGTGGAACATGATAAAGATCTGGCATAGAAGTGAATGAATGCAAATGAATAAACATACGATCTGTTTCCAGTAATCTGCATAAAACATATATGTACAGAGAAGAATAGAAGCGATTAATTTTAGAACTACAAAACTCAAACTGCAATAAAGCTAAAGCTCAAGTTTGAAAAAATTTAGTCGAAATTAACCCAAGAATTGTATGTCGATAAGCATCGGAATAAGCTTGTTTAGTAGAACTGACAAAAGAGCGATCAGATAATAGATCTCGCATTACACCATACTGAGCTTCACAAATTACAGTTATTTTTATCCTCGTTCTGCAACTGACATATATGTGCAAAGAAGAAAAAAAAACTTACAGAGCGACAATTAAGGACAAAATGGCTATCATTTAGTATAAACAATTATTAGAATAAACAATTATTTCAATATTATCCAAAAATCTGAATTTAAGGAGAGCATTCCACTCAGCTTATCGTTTTGCGATTCCAAGGTAATGGCATGTTTTTATCGCAATAATCTTGACACATTAAAAAAAATTACAACACCTGAAAACTACGTATTTAATGACATTAACCTTTTCATGTAACTGTCGAAAGGTGCAGAAATTTTGTAACCGACTGTTACTTGTGGTTTCCAAGGTAAACACAATTCTAGCAAAAGCGACGAGTGGTCTTTCTCTTTCTTGAAAATTTTCAAATTTCTTAATACAAAACCATCGTAAAACCGTAATCGCAAGAGGTCTGCCAAAGATGATTCATATTCCATACTGCAATGCATACGTCGAACGACACCTCTGAAAATCTTGAGACTAAAAGCAAGAATATTTCAATAAATTACAAGATAATGAACGATTTATCGGTACACATAAAATTTTTTCAGAACAGAGACTGAAATGAAAAACTCATTTAAAAACCGCTGGAGAGAGTAATAAATGAAAAATACGTAGTGTATGGCTCCAGAAATTCAGGATTAATCTGTCGAATCAAATTTTTCACGTGATTGTCGGATGTATCGGGCAATTGAAGATGTTTGCACAAAAATAACCGGCTGTCTATAACGTCCTGAAAATAAAGAAGGGAATTTCCTTGCATGGACAATATCCTGATACACAAAAAATAAAGCAAGCTTTTGACGAATATTTTAATATTCAGACTTACTAAAATAGCAGCATCAACTTTATCCGGTATATAAACACCTGATGTTGCTTTCGCGAGGAAAACAAGAAATCCTGGCGATGAAAAATGGCCAAATACAGCGTCTGTGTTGCAATCATCTTGAATCTTGAAATACAAACGAAATTTCGAAGTATTTTAGTGAAATCTTTACTGGAGACATGGTACATGCAAAGGATTCGGAAATAACATGAAAACAAGGAACCCATGTTTTTTTTTAATGATCTCTAAGAATAAATTACTTGTACAAAAGAACAAGCGACAGAATAATCCCATAATTGAACCATTAACTTCTGCAACACGTGTATGTCTGTGATATGACACACAGCATCTGTGATAACAACAATGTCTGAAAAAATAATAATAATGATCAAATTAATGGAAAGCTAACATGAAGCAATCTCGTGCCATTGTTTGTTATACAAATTGAAGTCAATGTTTTTATTAATTTAAACAAGATATGAATTATAACTGAATCCAACAAAAACATAAAAATTTTAGTAAATGGGATATTTTTCAACGCTGCTTATGAAATAAGAGATAAAAATCCTTGGATTAAAAAAGTTTGTTCGTATTATGAAAGTCCGACTAGGCTGCGCAGTATCTGGTAGTAATTGAAGACCAATAAAACCAATTCGCAACATAAAGATTAGTGACCACTCTGAGTTCATAAAACCTTCATCGGCAAAATCTGCCTCAAAATTCATCCTAAAAAGTGAATATTACTCTGCAATAAAAGCATAGTTAATAAATTTAATACCAAAAAAATAGTTTTCGAAATTTTCATAGCACAAGTATTTCATCTCCTGAACAAACTTTTTTCATACACAGTGATTTATATAATAATACTTTAATGGTGCAAAATCATACTTCCTTGTGTCATTCGCTGTTTGGGAATCACATAAAAAATTTTCAGGTATGGAATCTGAAGATTCCTAAAATGTATTCAATTTTCATACAAAATTACCAGCTGGATTGTGAAATATATTTAAAAATACAATTTCTGGAAAATAAAAATTTACTTTTTTCTTATATGAAATATTTTCATTGCGGACAGTACAAAGCAAAAAACGGTTTCTTGTATTTTATGATTTTATGATATTTATTAGTATATACAATCACACAAAATTATGAGCGCTAAGTGTGAAATATTAGAAATTTAGACAACAACCAAATCTCGACAAAATATTCAAATTAAGGAGCTGTCATTACCTTCCGCACTTTCATCCTATTTTGATTCCATCGTTTCAGATGACGTTGCACTATATAACAAAGTCTACTAGAAAACACTGATAGCCGTTCTTGAACATAATTTAAGACAGAATTAATATTTTTCTTGGTAAGCAAACAGCCTTGTAGAATAACCTATAAAATGAATTTCAGTTTTAGTGTAGACTTAAAAATGCAGGAGTTGTCAAGCGGACAAATAATTAATAAAAAAGTTCTTCATTAGACGAGGCATCATTCTCCGATATTAGTATTAATTATTCATCATCCTAAGTCAGATTCTTTTCAAATTTGTAAGAGTCAGACAGCTGCCTCAAATTATTGGAGAGTAAATTAAAATTATGTTCTCAAAGTTCAAAGCTCCAACTACTTACTCTATCTTCGTCAAAAGCAATAAATGGGCTATAGAAACAAATAGAAATAAATAATTTGGGTGATAATTTGATTTTTTGCAAAAAATTTCCATCCATAACAAGTCCTTGTAAGCACTGTCGTAATCGACACATAATTTTTGAATGTGGTACACAGCCTGCAGTTCCATCCTAAAAAAAGAATCAGAATTTGAAACTAAATCTGACTAGTATGACCTTTAAACAATAACAGACTCTTTCAATGGCTGAAATAACTCAATGAAATAGTCGAACAAAAAGTCAATCACATCAAAAACTTGTATGATAAAAATATAATACATGTTTAGTGACTAGATCTTGAAATCTAAAAACGAACCACCACAAAAGTAGATGGACTGATATCAATAACGAATATGAACCGATAACTTTCAACGACATAAGATATCAAAGTCTCAGTAGTGACCAACACTGGTTCTTCTTCATTAACGCAGCCACCATCTCGAGCAGTGATATTTATAACGCTTAGTTCTCCATTATTCTATAAATAAGCTACTGTAAATATACATCCATACGTAAATTATTCGCTTTCTAACAGCCAGCAATAATAAAATGATATCAGTCACGTTTTTGATCTCAACATTAAAATTTTTTATAGCTCCTTTCAAAAAGTTAAATCCTAGATGATCCTAATCTCAATGAATACAAAACATGGAATAAATGATATTCCTTATTACCAATTATCAATTTTGATTACATTTCTATTTCTTACCAAATGAAGAAAACTGACTTCTTAAATACCTCATAAATTATAAGCATTACCAAAATATTTTCAGAAATCGAGTATTTCAATTTACATCTTACAAAAAATGCCGAGAATAGTACAATCATACCTGAGAAATCTTACTGGAAAGTTCAACTTATTCACGTAATACATGGAAGAAATTAAATAAGTGATAAAAATTACTTTCCTGGACGTTTCTAGTGCTATGGTACTATTAATGTGATTTAAGTACCATAACATCTGGGCATATTTTCCTATTTTTGAACTATCTGCTGCCAACAGCATCACCTCACTAGCTTCACGAACTGTGTAACCATCACCGTTTGAACTTGCGTCATCAATATGTATTTTAATTTCTCTCTGATCACAGTGCTCCGCGCTGTTTTCCATAAAAGTAGATAAGCTTTTGATCTGAAATTAACTATTTCGATTCATTACTATACCTCAAGATACAGTATATTTTTGCAGACAGTTTATACGAAAAGGTTGGTAATTTTTTTCTACAAAAAACGACGAAATTCAGTTCAATAAATTTCTATTCACAATAATTTCCTAATAAGCCTCATATGAAAATCTTATCTCAAATAAAACTTGCTCTTTAGAGGTTTTTTAAAACAATATAAATTAAACTTATTAGCAGAATATGAAAGCCTTGACTATCACTCATGTGAATTTGAAATGAAAGCTTAACAAAATACAACTTTTTTATTTATCTCTTCGACTGTTACTTGGCATTATTCAGCGCAAACATTAATGAAAAATACTATTTCGGAATGATAGTGAACCTTCTCTTGAACAAATGCATAAAACACGCTAATCTCAGCTTTTTATTTTGCTCACAACAAAACAGGAGAAGAAGAAAAGGAAGAACGGGCAGAATGTAGCTGTGATAAAATGAGTGAGTTTGATCAAAAAAATAGAAAAATAAAAAGAAGATAGGAAAGTATAGATAACTTTTTATCTATACTGACATGCAACAAAATTTAGCAATATCTGTTAGCCTCCCATTTTTTCTATTTTTTGACATTTTACCATGTGTACAATATGACAAATGCTTAGATCTTTGATAAGGCTAGTGCAATATTTAGTCTAGTCAGGGTACGATTTGTCATTAGTTCTTCAACTATTAAGTACAACAAGTAAGTTTTTAATATTTAATATACAAAGATTCATTGGCCTTTATCAAAAGCAGTCGTAATCAATCATAATATCATTCAGTGATTCTGTACAATCAATATCTGCAACGAATCATGATGTTTGACTGATTTATGTTAATCACAAAGCAGTGCAAAAGTATTTTTTGAACTTGTGAACTTGGTCTTGCAGAGTCACACGAAACTTCGCTTATACTTTAGTTTCATTTCATGTAAGAACCCTTTATGCTTTTATTTCTTTTCAATTCGTTGACAAATACTTAAATGCAACCCAAAAAGTATTTCAAGATTTTTTGAATTATTTAAAGACACTTTATTACATTTATTTGTAGCCTTATATCTGTCAGTGTCTTAAAATAAATAAAATGACAACCTATTCTTATTTCTAAGAATAAATAAAACGCTTCCAAATAGAAATTCTCGAAATTTGCGCATTTAGTAACTTTGTTCTTTCATTCTGCCCTCTTGCAACATCATTTGGAAATGCTCCGCTCAAGCGACCAAATGTTGCACATTTGAAACGATATGAAAATGCTAAGTGTAGTCACACTTTTCTTAGAAATTAGAAGTGTACTTGTTACATTCTTAATTTTTTATGCTTATTTTACACAGCAAATAGCAAAGACCACAATTTATTGGTCTTCCTTTCAGCCTACTTTGTATACCTTCGAGAATCGGTGACCAAATCTTTCTAAGAAAGCAATCAAAAAATGAGGGAAATGAAAAATAAACAACGAAGGTTACAGAAAGGAAACAATTACGGCCCAGTAATGCATGATAGACATCAGAATGAAAATCAGTAATCTTGAAGCTAATAGCGTTTTGCTTGCTATTATTGCGTATACACAAGATTGGAATATTAATTGATGTTGTATATTTTATCTCTATGTAAGGCTATAAATTATTTATATCATAACTGTAATATTAATAAAGTAGCTAGTAATGATTTTTTTAATCGACTATTTTCACTGTTTATAAAGTTTGTAAATTTGAATTTCAAGCATTGCCTGTATTATTTTTTATTAAAGAGATTGAAAGCTTGAACATATTAGATTTAAATGATAAGTTCAGTGCAATTAATATATGGCACTAATTTTATTGAACATAAATTATAAATTATTGATCAAATGCCAGTGAATCTTTTAATTTATAATTATATGAAATTTTGAGGAGCATATGAAAGTATGTATAGTTTGCATGACATGATAGAAAACGAGAAGAAATTTGCATATTTTCTATGTGCTTCGTGAAACTTAATCACGTTTAATTTTATTCAGAAATTAGGATATATATATATATATATATATATATCCTTTTTCAAAAGTTATATATATATATATAAAACTTTTAAAGATGTGTTTAATTAACGAACCAAGTATCCGTTATTGAAAGATTAGTAAAAGTTTTTTTGTCCAGAAATTTTGACTAAAATTATTAATAAGTGCAATAACTTGTGATTATTGCTCAATAACACAAGCATTTTTATTGACTGCTACATTTATTTAACGTAAAAAATTATGGTACAGTGAATAAATGTTTAGCTGATTAAAATGAATCCCTTGAATCCTTAATAACATATGCTGATGATTAATTTCTTCAAATTTAAGTAATCAAAATTTGCTTCTATTCCTTTTTCACATGCTTAAAATAGATCTGTCAATTGCTATTATTTTTCGAAGTAGTACACTTCGAATTCGTTAGCGCCTTATCGGTATGTGTTGGTCCATTTTGCTGCATTTGTTGTATCTGCTGAACTGCTTCGTTATGTGGGTCATTTACGCACTTAGGTGGGTACGATTCGTGCATACCTGCATTGTGGTACATCTTTCTGTTTATTTTCAATTTTTTATAATATGTGCTTGAGTCTGATGCAATTTTTACGATGCAAAGAGTATAAACAAACTTTGCATTTAACTTTAAATGTAATCTTTATCAAATTTATAGATATTAATAGTAACCTTTGTACATCACTCTTTATAACCATTACATCGTTATAACTTAATATTATGTTGATTAGTTGCTTATTACAGAAAGGGAACAGAAAAAGAAGCACCTTATACTCGCATTTATTTTTTCAATGTCTTAATTTGTGTATTTTTTGCATGCAATCACAACAGTTAAAAAGTTTAAATGCAGTGTGCGTATTGATGATCAAAATGACTATTTAGAAACTAGCTATATTATTGACCTTTACATAAATGTTCTTCTCTTCCAGCCGATTTTAGCGCCTACAAGCGAGTCAATGCAGTGGTACCACTAACTCACCGTCATTTAAGTTTTGAGGCTAATACCTGCGCATATAAACGTTGATCTACCATTTATAAATTTGCATTTAAATCAAAGCAGCAACAGTGCTTGTAATTTTCATAAAAACAACGTATAGCAGTAAATGGCAGAAGACTTAGACAAATGTGTTGGGATAAGTATTAATTATTGCAATAATAATATTTATAATAGTAATAATAATTAATTCCTGCTATTGATAATTATTTATTATTATTATTATTGATCACGTTAAAAGCTGCTTTACATTGCGGATTCTGTTGTTGCATTGATAAATGGCATTTAGCAAAGTGTGCATCGACTTGCTGTTATTGTGATGAATGCATAAAATGAAGAGGACTTGCTAATACGACTGGATTGCAATTTTTGCAAATGCAAAAGAATTGTGACAAATTTAAAATAATTGATAAGGTTGATGAAAAGAGCATTTTTCAGTGCCAGCAATACAATATCGGTATTCAGTCTTTTACACATACATCAGCACTTCCATACTCCATCAGAATCATTCGTAATGATCGCCCGTGCATGATTTCAGGCATCCTTGCACTTAAATGTAAAATACTGCAAATGCATGCTGTGGAATGCTCTTTCAGTTGTAAACAACAAATGTGATTAGTACAATTCATAGAAAAGTGGAATAACTTTCTGCAAATTACTACTCTGACGAGTATAACGAAGCTTTTGGCTTATGCAATTAACGCTAACAATTACGAGTATTTAAGAAAGAGAAGTTTGTGAGGAAGGCTGTTACGAATAGCATCGCGAGAAATGAATGGAAATTCGAGAGTTTGCCAGAACTGTTAGTATTGCGTGAGCAGTCATGACTCCATTTTAGCAGTACATCTTTTTGACTACTCAAGTCGATCAGTTTCCGTGATTTAATATAAAGCTGAGCTTTGATCTGTTTTACTGCGTCAGCTGATATATTAAGACGAATTCCATTGATTGTTGCGGTTGAGAAATCAGCAGAGCATTGGTAAGAAATGATATCAATGATATCTAATGACGGTACTGCCAGTTCCTTCTGTAAATAGTGATAAAATAATAAAAACATTAAATTTTTTCACGTATTTACTACACATATGTTTAATACTGCATACACTCTCGCAGTAGTTGTCTAATAGACCATTTCTTCACAACGTTTTACTTCAGAACCGATATGTTACATACCCTTGACAACTGTTTATGTACTTCTGACAGGTGTTAGTTAAAGGCTAGACAGTTCAAGTAATTCAGCTCTGTGATATATTTGAAAGAAGATAGGTACGCAAGTACACAAGAACGATTCACAGTGAAGTCAGAAAAGAATGTGATATTTACGTGAGAAGTTTGTGTTGAGATGCTTATGCGGACTTCGGAGCGATCAGCGATGTAATGAAAAATCCATTTGTAATATTTGTACTGATGAATATCTTTCACTACGGAGATGCCATCATCCCAGTATAGCAAACCTTCTGCTTCTCCATTACTATCTGCATATTACAGTAACAAGTCATTAGCAGTATATCATCGCAACAATACGTAGTACTTTAACAAGCTTTCCATAAAAAATTTTTATAAACTTCAATTTTACTCGGAGCAATTAACAACTCGAAAGGATTCCTTCTTGAAGCGGCTGACGTGGTTTCAGCTTTCTGTCTAGGCACAATATATCCACCTGAAATAGATGCTATATTTTATCTTTCATTTTGCTTGGTTTTTATTCACTTATCTAGTTTTTTCTATATTCCGAAAATTGTTTCATTTAAATTTCAACTCTTACTTTTGATAATTCAGTAATCTAAGATGCATGCATTCTGCAGCAAAAAGTTTTCATCTCTTCATGAACTAAGTACTGCTTCAAATTCACAAAAGTTTTGAGCAGCGTTTATGCAGGAATTCTATTCGACTAATATTACTCAAAACGATGGAAAAGATTATAATAAATTAACGACACACATCAAATTGGATAAATCCTCTCTACAACAATGTCATTTTAATGTATAAGACACAATAGGGTATCATAATTGTACTTGCATAACTAATTAATCATTTTCACTTATACAATTTGAAGATTTATTTATGTGCTTTTTTATGGAAAAAATTGCTGGAAACCGATAAGCACTTGCTAGAATAATTAAACGCGTATGAACAAGTTTAAGAAATTATGGATCAAGTTACCTCGAACAAATACTGGCATCATATCAGTAATAGGAGCTGCATACTCTGAACTGCTATTGCACACTTTCATACCATAATCAGATTCTCTTAATGAGTACCAAAGAGCAGTAGGTGGCAAATATCCATGTACGGTAGAAGCATACTCAAATATGACAACTATTTGGTATCAAAATGCATTCCGTAGAATGAATAATTGTTCAACTATTATCTTCAAAATAGTCGATACGGATTAGTTAATTATTTAAAAAAAATCTAGACCTACTTGTATTCTACTCACTATTTTATATGTAAAGTTAATATTATGTAAGGTAAATAATTTTTCAACCAAACACGTTTATTCTCTCTGCGTAATAAAGAAATAAAAAAAGTAGCAATGGTAGTCACTCACTTCGTAAACGACAGGCACAAAAACCATTGCACTTCCCCACATAAATTGATAATCCAACTGATATGTATTACTATCATTTGGAAACTCAAAAAATAACGGTCGTACAACAGTACCGCCATTGAGTGAACATTCGAACATCAAACTTTTGTAAATAGCATCTGTTCATTCAAGGTTTAAGTGGTAACAAACAAAACTGAGACCACTAGAACTTTTACATTTTATAAATAGCATTTAATATTTCACTCTGTAAGAGTTAAGGAAGTACATTGTTAATCCAGCTGAATATGCTAAGTTTTCACCTCTTCACTTTCACTCTTATTTGAAAACTTTTAATTGATACTCAAGCAGTGTTCATATTCTACGCATTTAATCTACAGGCATACCTTTTTATTACAAAACCAATATTTTTGAAGTGAATGCAATTAATTTATGTTCAATTTTTGCACATTAAAGTTATGAAAAATTGAAAAAATACTAGAAAAAAACATTAAATGAATGAAAGCTCGATTTGATTTAAAGGATAGTAACTATAATAAATTTACCTGTATAGATACGGTAAATAATGGTACCGAAATAGAAGAGCTTGACGCGCTGCTCGAGCAACGGCTGGCCATTCTGCAGGATCTTGAGGTCGTGCACCTTTTGTATTGTGATTTCTGCAATAATATTAACGAATTAGAGAAACAAGACTACGTACATCTTACCAGATTGTAAATATATTATAATGTTACCTGCTAAATGGATAAAATGCTCCAAGTTGTGACCAGCGTAAGCACAATTCTTCGGTAGTATTGCCGGAGAAACCACAAATATCAGCTCCAACGTAAGGAATACCAAATATGTTAAATTCTATCATGCCAATAATCGATGCTTGAAGCCATTTCCATCCTGATGTGTTGTCTCCAAGCCAATGACCAGAATAATGACCAGAAGATGGAAATGTAGATCTGTAGGAAATTTAAAGTCATACAAGTTATTGTTACACACAAAACAGTCATGAACTATCAAAATAATTTATCAGTAAAGGAATTACTTTCTTCTGAAATATTTTTTCACTTTCTCATGCATAGTAAGTTGGCATATTAAAATTATGCATTAATCAACTGATTAGTATTTACTAGCCAAACGTATCTTACTTGATGCTTCTCTGTAATCAGAGTCTAAGCTTTAAAAATAAATAACTTTTAATAAAGTTACGCAAACTCATGAATAATAATACAAGTCTTTTTTTTTTTTTTAATAAAAAGTATCGTCAAAAAAAAGCATAGCTAATATTAACTTCAAAAATAACCAGATTGCAACAATCACCTTGTAATGATACTCCTTCTTTTTCCTACGATATTTTCGAATGCTTCGGCATTTACTACTGTTTCCCAAATACCATAGAGACTTTTGGTATTGTAGAATAACTGTTTACCATCGTTAGTTACAGCATTCATGCACAAAGTCTTAGAACATAATTGCTGTAAATAAATACATTTGAAATGTAGAGGCAAAAAAATTGTTCAGCATATATATCTCTCACTTCAGAATTCCGCACTATGGATAAAGTTGCTAGTATTTTTGATCCACATTTTTGTCTCAGTCAGTTCACAACATTTTGAGTGAGGAATCAGATCAAAACTCAAGCAGCCTAGTCATAAAATAAAGTATGTTTGGTAGGAAAATAAGTTCTACAAGAATATGGAGATTCAAATTATATTTTTCCTAGTGCAATGATTTAATTTTAAATGTACAGGAACTGCTCGAAAAATTAGCATTTAGATTGGCTCAAAGGAGTGCTCGACTGGAAGCAAAAACTGGAAGTTGCAGAAAATAAGCAAGTTATTCATTTTAGAAGTCATTTTTCGCTTATTTTTTTAGTTAAGTAAAAAAAATACTTACAGCAGTATTACCCCAGCCATATACGCCATAAGTTTTATAAGGTGGATCATCCCAAGAATTGTTCAATGGACACCAAAGAGGGACTAATTTCACCGGACGGTCTTCCTGATCAAAGTACCACGGTTTTTCTTCATTGGTACCAAACACTGCTGGTTCATTCATATCCAGCCAAATGCCATCAAATTTAATCTGAAATATTTGCTTTGCACATCTCCAAGCTGATTTAAAAAATTTTATGCTAATGAACGAGAATGCGTTTGTTATTTATCATTCCATCAATACTTTTCACAGTTTGCTGATTTTTATTTTTAGAAAAAACAACTGCTTACTTCTTGGTACATTTTTCCCATTTCATAATTCCACCACATGATGGTTTTATTGTTGGAAAAATCAGGAAATGCAACGTACCAATCCGGCCAAACCACACTAATCATAATCTGTGCAAATCAGATGTAATTAGTTAATATATTTAATATGCAGAAAAAGTATTAGGATTTTTTTATTGCACCATGACATACATTGTCTTTGATGGGCAAACTTTTTGTTTTTCAATAACTCAGTGAACGTTCTCATTTATCGACATTCCACGAGGTTATGGAACCAAAATTTATTCGAAAAGACAATTTTTCTTTACAGAATTTGCAAGATTGACTAGACTGTTGAAGCTTAATCTTAGACTCATAAAAACAATTCAGCAAACCAACTTTAGTATCTGTAACATAATCGTAAGAGCCGCTGTAATTGTCGTAGTTAACTCTTTCCTGAACATCATCCATAGTTTGCCATTCTATGAATCCAGCATTCTGGAATACTTGGTTAAACTGCATGCACATGTGCCATGAATAATCATATCTTTCCTATTACTACATTCTTCTTTAAACAGTTCATCGCAATTACTTTTTTGAAGCTTAAAAAGAAAATTTTAAAGTTAAATTTTTGACAAAAATGCAAAGTCATAAACAAGCGTTAGCATATCTAATTACGAGTACAAGCTTTTTTAATATTTTTCTTATTGTCTCTTGATCAAACGGATCAATAATGATCAATTTGTTTTTTTATAAATACTTGGATTAAAAAAATTTGTTACTTTACAAAAATGTAACGCTGTCAATTACAAAATTTATTATGCTCAGCTATTCTATCTTTTTTTATAATACTTTCTTGAACATAATTAGACGAATAAAACATTTGAATGAGATAACTGTGTGAAAGCTTTTTAAATTTGAAAAAATACTAAATAATAGTAATTTGAATGGTAAAATGCACAATTATTAGTTTGATTCAAGGAAAAAAGACAAAAAAATATCGACAAGACCCGCCAACAAGCATTTTTAAATGCAGCAGAATCAATCTGTACAGCAGGATCAAATATCAAGAAGAGATTAAGTTCATTCTCGTGAAGCTTATCAACGTAATCACTAAGACCTTGCCATGTCTGCAAATTTGCGCACTTTCGTTTAATCAATTGTACAATAAAAATTATTCAACTTCCAAGTGAAATTTTATGCTATGCTCTCAACATTTCTCTAAGATAGCATTAAATTTATTTGCACTAATATCAAATGCAAATTTATTTTTGATTATATATGAATAAATTTTTGCAAAAAACTCATCGACATTCATTGGCAATAAATCGCATAAAATGTTAAGCTTTTAGATTAATTTTATAAATGAGTAATTATTTGATTAAAGTATATTTATATGTTTATGGTGCTCTCACAAAATGATAAAAAGACAACCTGCGCAATAGTAAAGTCTTGATAACGATTCATATAGTCGATATCAGCGTATGTAGTATCTAAAGGTATACCAGCTTTCTGTACCCGTGAAACTACGCTTTCCATCTCTTCTAAATTTTTGTAGCCATAACGACAGAGCTAAAAAAGTTTCGTATATAGTTTATTTTTTTACTGATAAATTAATCTCAAAAAATACCTGAAAACCTAAAGCAAAGTAAGCAGGCAGAAAAGGTTTGCCAATGAATGCTGTATACTGTTTAATGACATCTTCAGGTTGTGGTCCAGGAAAGAATGTAATGTCAAGCATACCACCAATAGTACGGTAAATTAAATGAGGTGCAGGACCAAATGTTACTTCCTAAACGAAATCATTTCTTGAATATATGTATACATATTTATGACAGTTATTTATTGCATTTTTATTTGAAATTTATTCTCATGACTTTATGGCAAAACAGATTCTTAAAGCACAAAAATAATCTAAAGAAGGAAACAAATGCTGTTCGTTAATTTCTTCCAACTTTTCATAAATGATTTTATTTAAACACTTTTGCATTGCTATAACCAAACATTTAAAGCTAATTTTAATTGCCGTAAAAGGAGTATTAGCTATTTTCATTTACTTTATGAGCAAATACTAACTGTATTTATGCAATAATATTTCTTCCAATTATAAGTGATAAGTATCACTTGCTGTCACTTTTTATAACTTAAAGAATACATTATAAAATGGTGAAAATAATTAAAAGCCAATGCTCATAGTAATAGAAAGAATCAACAAATTTTTGAGGTAGGAAAATTATTCTACAAGCATTTGCATGCATTTTATCATGTGATTACTAAATAATACAGAACTATTGTATTCAGTACATGGATAAAACGAGTAATTTGAGAGTTGGAATAAAAATTTTGTTCTTATTAAAAGTTCTTTATCTAAAGTGAAAAAATTTTGATAAACTATTTATTAAAAGTTAGGAAAATTAAAATAACCTGCGCATTGCTATTGAGGATGAAAACACCATGTGCTTTTCCATCATTTTCAAGACATATATAAAAGGGGTGCACACCATAAAGATTGCCATGTGGATTATCAACTGATGAGGCTTGATCGCGACCAAACATGGGCCAAGTTTGATATTTGCTTAAATCATGCTAAAATATAAGCAGCTGTATTGCGTCAACTTTGAAAATTAATATACTCCAAACTTGCAAATAATCATTGCATATTTTTTCATTCTTAGTAAACTTTTCTTAAAAGAAACTATCTATTAATGTTTATAGAACATGGAAACTTTTGACTTTACTGCCAAGTTCAAAAATAAAAAAAGAGAAAATATGCTTATGTTATTTATTTATGATTAAAAATAAATAATACAACTTAATGCTTGCTCATAAAATATTACCATCAGTGTTAAATGCTGATGCTCGCCAATACCATAAATTTGCCGTGTTGGTAAGAAAGTTGCAATTTGTATGTATTGATGAGCAAATAACAAGCCACCTACAAAATTTATAACTTTGTCAATAATTTGTATGAGTAATTTATAGTTGGCACTTTTAGTCTAATAATACATCATTTGAGCCCAAAATGAATATTTTCTTCTTTCAACCATATTCATATTTCTATGACATACCATTATGTTGAAAACAAATTTTACTGCATTAAGTGAAGTAAACACTCTTACATAACTTCACTGCATTTAAAATTGATATTCTAATCATACCAATAGATGTATCCCAAATAGCAATTCCAGTCGAATTTCTCAAAATTCTGAAGAAAAATATATTTTCATCCGTTTTGTCCACTTCTACTTTCAACTTTTCGTCACTTGTGACAGATGCGCGAGGCATTGCTACTTTTGGTTCATATCTGTGCAAAACATACATCCTTCATAATTATTTCTTCATAAACAAATCCAACAAGTTACAACTTTTATTTCTTAGCTAAATACTTCGGTATAAAAATATTTGACAGTACAGGAATACAAAGAAAAAAATTAAAATTTCCTCCCACATTTGCATAGTCAGAGATTTGAAAAAATTATGAAAATGCAAGTTAGCACATAAATGATTTACAGATGAAGTATTTATGTGAAAAGTGTCCATACAACATCCAAGTGGTTTAATTGGACACTATTTTTATCCAACAATGAAAGATTTAAATTATATTGAAATGATTTAAAATATTACAAAAGTCAATAGTGTAACTTATTTTGGTTTTATTAATGATAAATCTGTTATGCAGACATCAAGAATAATTGATAAGTTTTATGTTAAATAGCAAAAATGACATCAGTGATAATTATTTGTTGATTTGAAAGTGAAAAATGTCATGTAAGAATAAATTACATTACATATGCATGTGTGTATAAATTGTGGTGCTAATTATTTATTCAAATACAATCAGTAATAAAATTGAAGTCATTATAAGTATGAAATGAATTTGAAACACAATTTAATAAAATAAATTTATTGCAAAATCTCATATCATACATTCTTTGCAAGTATATGATAACTTTTGCTGAAAGTATTATTTTGTTGTAAATTTTTGTTGTTTACTTAATTTGCGTACTGAGTGAATTTGAAAAATTTTTCAATCAAAATTGAGAGGTTTTTGAAATGCTTTTCTTTTTACACAACAATTTAAAATCCTTTGTGTTGTTGTGCTTCTCTATGTCATTAATGATAAATGATAGCAGTTAAAGTTAGCCATTAGAAATAAAGTACTTTGCATGTTCAAACATTCATTCGTAATGCTTTTTTAGTTGAAAATTTTGATCAACCGATAAATGAGCATATCAACCTTGGAAAAATAAATGATATGATTGGTAAGCTCAAGGGAAGGTTGTAAATTTCAAATATTACTAATCTAAGTTTGGTATTTTGAAAGTTAACCAACTTTATGGCTTGTTAGAAGCTGCCCAATTTATAAAATTATAGAAAGAAAATTTTTTTTAATTCTCCAAAACAATCAGTATGAAAAAAGTAGATGTAATTATTCTTTTATTTCTCTGTTAAAACAAATATTTTTGTGTTACCTTTATAAATAAGCTAAAATTTAATCAGCAATTAATTTGACCCGGCGATATTTCTGCTTTTTTGTAAACGAAAAAGAGCTGTGAGAAGTAACTTATTGCAAAAATAAAAAATTCACAAAAAGTAGTAAGTTATGAAAAAAATTGTCCTTTTAAAAAATTCACTAATATATATTTTATTTGATACAGTTCACACGCTGATTTCAATGATCAAAACATTATCATCCATTTTTATGAAGCATTTATGAGAATCATATGATAATAAATAATTTTGCAGATAGATAATTTTATCCATTAATTTTGTCATTACTTAAACACATGAAAATGGTAGAAGCACTTTTTCTGTACGATTAAATCATGAATGCTTAATATATACGGTTAAATTTAAAAGAACTAAAATAGGAAACAAAAGTGGATAATATAATTTTACTTGGTACAATACCAGAAATTGCTCTCAAGTTTATTGTAATTTAACGCAACTTACCGCTCTTCATTTTTTGGTGTAATACGAATATTTATTGCATTGCCATAATTTTTTTGGCTGAAGACAAGTTGTGGAAAAATTTTATCATAAAAGTATTTTATTGTTGCATTTGTTAAAATGATGTCTGGACCTGCTGACTCTTGCAAATGGTAACCTGTATTTGGCAGAAAATAACAGAGTGGAATAGACAAACTGCTCTGAAATAAAACTAAGTAATTCATTTAATATCGCTTTTGTAACTACTTAAGTTACTTTTAATACTAGCAAAAATATTCCTTCTACATAATAAAGTATTCAAATTTGCTATTGCTGTGATCAACTGAAATGTTATTTCTATATCTTCCATAAGTAATTTAAAAGATTACAGATGATTTCAGAGTGAATTAACAACTAAAGGAAATGATCAATAATAACTGTAGTAATAAAACAGTACTTGTTGAAAATTACCTCTCACTGGTTACTATTTCCATATATATATATATATATATATATATATAT